TGGCCGATGCCGCTCTGGCAGTGAGGGGAAGGGTGAGCCCCTCTGCACCAGCCTGGCCCCACTCACCCATGCTGGGATGGGGAAGAGTTGGGTATCGCAGCAGGGCAGGGCTCACCTCTCCCACGGTCCCGACCTGTCCCTCAGCAGGGACGACTTCTTCCCAGAGACAAAGAGGTGACAAAAATAGATTTTCACCCGGAGTGATGACTCAGACCGGTGAGTGGCCAGAGCAGCCTCCCTGTCCCAGAGATGCTCGGTGGGCAGCTGGCCCTTGCAAGGACGGTGCATGATAGGGTGGGGGAAGGCAGACTGGGGCTTTTTTGGTTCCTGTTTTGAGCAGGATTGGTGACAGAAGCTGGATTTAACAAGAGCTCATGGATTCAGCCCAGGGGGACTGGGAGTGAGCAATTAAAGGATTTTCTTCCATTTAATTAACACCAAAATGGTGTCTGGGACTAGTGGCTGTCCCCAAGGGGTGGTTGCAGACAGGACAAGGGGTCACCCTGCTGTGCCCCTTGGGTGAGAGGGACGTTTGGGGTGGACTGCTGGCTTAAGGGGAAGGACACCTGCTGCTCCAAGGCTGCCCTGCATCCAACCCTCCCCACAGGAACCAGGCAGCTCCATCCTGGTCAGCCTGAAACCCTGGCCCGTTCACGATGCTGAGGCCAGCAGGGTGGTGGGGTGAGGGAAGGGGAGAAACCTTTTCTCAGAGGCATGTTAGCTGATGTTTCTGAGGTGGGGGATTCCCTCCTCCCAGGTTATCACCCAGCTCAGGAACATCCCCAGGGCCACCCTAAGGAGATCAAAGGGCTCCTCTGCCACTCCATGGACTCAGCCCCACCATCTCCTTAGACCGGGAGCCTTCAGATCCTGGGGATCTGCAGGTTCTACATAGCATGGAAATCCTGGCTTCTTTATTTCCAGGTTTCTCAGCCCTGCAGGTGTGACTTGCATCGCCTTGCCCTGGTTACTGGGTCTGCCTGCACCAGGGCAGGGGCAGGACCTTACTGGATTTGTTCAGTCAGGCTGGGGTCTGTCTCTCCAGCCTTCCACCTGCTCCAGAAAGCATTGGGTGAGAGTTGGCTGCACTTGGTGTTCTCAAATCCAGCCAAAAGCCCACTGGCTTCTGAGCAAAACCAGGGGGCAAGGGAGGAGGGAGTGCTGGCTTTGGGAGTGTTTTCTCCAGAAGAGGCAAGGTGAGCCTGATGGCACGACATGAATGACACCTGGACTGTGCTTGGCTTTGTGGGCAGCATTCCCTGCTGCCAGCCCTGCCACCACTGGAGCAGGCCCTGCCGTGGTGTTCCAAAACAGACGGTGCAGAAGCATCTCAAGGCAGCAGCTCTCTCCAAGGAACGCCCAGCTCACCCCAATCTCTCCCCTCAGGGTGAGACCTCATCGCAGCCTCCTGAAGGGCAGCCCTGAGGGTGTTTTGGTTGGAGCTGTGTCCAGACACTGCCCTTTCCCCGTACCCACAAGTGCTGCCTTCCCGCCCTTCTCTCCTGCTGGCTGAAGGGCCTCTCTGTGCAAAACCAACTCGCTTGCCCCACCACATCTCCCACCACCAGCACCTCCCACCCAGAAGTTTAGCTGAGCCTTTTCATGCAGCTGCTACAGGCTGGAGAGTGATGGAGTGAATCTGGCCTTCAATTACACACAGAGAGGATTTTGCACTGTATTTCCTAGACCAGCCTGTGAGAAAGTGCACTCAAGCACGTGTTCTGGAGTTGGGAAACGCCTGAAGCATTTTTCAGCCACCAAGTGCTAGGTGGTACCCTGATCTAATTTCATTATTAAAAGGATGTGGGAGACCATGGGAGATTCTCCCAAGCACTTGGGAAGAGGGTGTTCAGGTTCCACTTGCTACAGCTCAGCCTTCCCAAATGCTCCCTCTTCCCTTAACATTCCAGAATACTCCTTTTTCAGAGTCTTTTTTTTCAGAGCTTCTGTGTTCAGAAAGGTCCAAAGACCAAACCAGGGCTGATCCATGGTGCCCAAGAAGGGTGCAGGTGCTTGTGTTTGACTGCAGAGCTGATCTGTGCTGGCTCAGGCAGGCATTTCCATAGCCCTCCTCCCAAGCTCCACAAGTCACAGCCCACCCAAGGAAAACAACAACAGATTTTGGAATGTAACAATTTATTGGGGTTAATTTTTTGTTTTAATTTTTAACTCCCCATTTCTGGCATTGATACAATACTCAAGAGCAGCAGAAAGAACAAAATGTACAAGAATACAAGAGTAATTAGCACAACCCCCACCCCCAAACCTGGAGCAAACCAGTTTCTTGTAGGAAGCACCAAGGGAAGGAGTGATTCAATCACCCTTCCAGTGGCTCTGCCTCCCACCCATCCACTCTAGACAGAGTTTAGCCAGCTGGGAACTGGATTAAAAAACAAAACAAAACTGAACAAACATTATATTTAAAATGAAAATTGCAAGACAAAAAAATAATATATAGATATACAATTCATCCGTGCACAATCCTTAAATGCTTTTTTTTTCAAAATAAAAAAAAAAATTACAAGATACATATTTAGGTTTATTTTAAATTAAAAAAAATTACCACCTTCACTCTGTATGCCAAGTGAGGGGAAATGAAGAGACAGATGGGTTGCACCAGAACTATCAGCACTTGGAGTTAGGGCTGACCTTCTCCCAGAGGAAGGAAGGGCTCTGATGCTGCCAAAGCTCAAGCACAGGCAGAATCTGAAGCACCCAAGTACCACAGAACGCAGTGGGGTCACTCGCCTGCTCCAAGTTCAGTGTTTGCAGGAAATCTGCAGCAATTGAGCCTAAGCTTGGCACAGGGGAAGGTGAAAGGAAGGAACAGATGAAGCACGCCCCTGTCCTCCACCACCAGCAGACAACTTTCTATGCAAAAAGAAAACAAATGGGGGAAAAAAAAAATCCCAAAGCAGAGAGTCTCCTCTATTCTTAGGGAGTGTACAAGGCTTAATGGCACAGGGGAGAAGAGGAAGGAGGACAGCACACTGAGTTGATTTGCTTGGGGGAGGTGCAGGCATGACAACTCTTTTCTAAAAAAAGTCATCACAACGATTAATTTTTTTGTTCCGTTTGAGAACTTGACCTAAGATTCTGCCCCCGCTTTGCAGCTGGGGGCTGGAAGCAGCAGGCTCCCTCCAGGGCAGCTGAAGAGCAACGACCTGTGCAAGAGCACCTACCTGCTGCTCTGCCCAGAGGAAAGCCCTCAGTATCCCTAGAGAGAAGGGGCCAGCTGGGGGCTGCTTGGGAGCATGGGAAAGCCCCGCTAGTCCTACGAGGCCTTTAAGCCCCACTAAGTGCTTTGACCCACCCAGCCATGTTCTAGAGGTTTAATGTGAGCTCCAAGTGCTCAGCTGAACAAGGAATGAAGAAAAGAACCAGGGTCCTGCAATGGGAATTAACACTTTGCCTGCATGTCCCACCATGCCCTGTTCTTCCCAGCAGAAGATTTTCTGAACCATTGCAGAAGCTGGCACCACTCTGACTGCATCTTGCTGCAGTTGTCACCTTACTTCTTCCCTGTGCCACAGCACGCTGCTTGCTGCCCCCTTCCCAGCACCACCCAGCCCAGGAGCACAGAGGGAATCCTGCTCCTCCATCCCAGGGCCATCTGCCAGTGCCTGAAGGGTGTGGGCTCAAAGCACAGAGCTCAGCTGGCATGGAAGGACCCTCACCCCAAGGACTGTGCTTTTGGATGGCCCTGGAGCCATTGCTTCCCATCACAGAGAAGCTGGAATGGACAGAAGAGCTGCTAGAGGCAGCCAAACACCACAGGACTGTATCTCCCTTCACTCCTGCAAGGAGAAATTTAGAAGAAAGAACTCAGGGCCCTGCTGCATGCTTAGAGGTGAGGCAGGTGGGACACAGGGCACCTCAGAATCACCACACAGAACACAGGAGAAGCTCCTGGTGCCAAGTCTGACCCTGCACAGAAAAGGGTGCAAATACCTCCAACAACATCAGTCTGACACGGGGCAATGGCAAAATGTGAGAGGAGCAGAGGACAGAAAGGCAAAGGTGAGGATGGAGGCAGACTCCAACATCTCCTGCCATCTACACCCCCAAAAAGAAACCATACACATTGCACTCTGGGAAAGGATCTCAAAAATAGAAGTTAAAAGAAAATAAAGACACTTATTTTCTCAACCTCGGAGCATTGGTGAAATGAAGATACTTCCTGGAATTACCTGGGGAAGGAAGCACAGACAGGGAGTAGGGGATTTCTGAAGCAACACTGAGCACTCCATCTCTGCAAACACCTCGAGAGTTGGGCTGCCAGCACCCTCAGCAGGATGGTCTCCTCCACCCCCATCCCCTTTGCATGAGGGAGACAGAGGCACAGGGCAGTGACACAGCTGGCAGAAAAACCACGGCAAGCTGAGAAGGAACAGAACTTAGGAGGCACCGAATCCCCAACCCCAAATTAACCCTCTACAGCAGATTGCCTTCAGAGCAGAGATCAGGGAGGCTGTGCATGGGGTGGTGGGTGAGATGGGGAGAAAGAAGGGGAGGAGGCTTTTTATATTCATATATTTATATATAAGAAGTAAATAAGATCCCAGCTCTTGCGTGATTATTGGGCAATTGAAAAATGCAGCAAAAGCAAGCGACATTGGAGTAAAAGGATGTGCCAGGCAAGGAGGAAAGTCTTGTCAGAAGGTGGGGAAGGAAGCAAAAGGGAAAGCAAGCACTTAGCCAAACACACACTCCAGGTTTGTTACACCTCCCTGGGAACAAGGACCTGCTCCTGAGCAGCCCCACTAATGCCATGGCCTGGGGTGGGCAGAAGTATGGGGAACTCAGGACACCATCCTTCAAGCATGGCAACCTCTTTCTGCCAGGAAGTCCCCAGGGAGGTGATAATCTCCAAACACTGGGAGCTGCTGAAGCCTCCTCTACAAAGAGGGGCTGGAAAGGGAGTGATATCCCTAGGAAGACTCAGCTCAGAGACAGCTCCTACCCAGTAAAAAGCATGATTGTGGTTGTGATTTTTTTTCTTTTTTTTTTTTTTTTTTTTTTTTTAATTTGTTTATTTCACAAAATCTCCCTGGGAAGTTCAGTAAGGGGAGACACAGAGAAATGCTCCCATTCTCTTTTGCAAACAGAATTTAAGCAGTGGCTCACCACAGCTGGGCCTGCTCACCACACTATTTCTGTTTTTCATCCCCAAAGGAGCTTGTATCTCATTAGCTTCATGCCCCTCCAGTCCCATGCTGCTCATTGAGAAGAGAGCCTGAGACAGGAGGTTTCTGTTCCAAGTTGAAAGCCATGGGAAGCACCGACAGTTTGATGGGCAGAGAGCAAAGTTCCCAAGTGCAGCCCAGGCTATGGGAAGCACCGAGACATCCGTCATCTGCCACTGCAAAGCCACTGCAAAGGGCACCACAGAAGTCCAGACAAGAAAAGCTGTTCAAGCGTCCCTGCCTACCATCTTCTGTTCAGACACCAACATCTGGTGGTTTCCCTCTTCCCTGCAGTCACTCCCATGTGCCTGATGAACACCAGAGGCATCTTGGACAGGGAAAGCAGCACATAAGAGCTGCCTCCTCGCTCTGAAGGAATGTTCAGGCAACTCCTCCCCAACACCCCAAAGGAAGCTGGAGAAGAGGGCTGCCCTACTTGAGCACAGTCCTGTCAGATTGTTCCTCTCCCCTCTCCACCCTAAAAACTTCCAGCATTTGCTGGCCTCAAGAAGACGGCGTGTGTCCCTCAGCAACACAATCAGAGCACACAAGGCAGCGCTCTCATTTGCCTCTAGAGATCCCGCCACTGGGGAGAAGGGGTGCTGGAATACACAACAATGGGATTCAGTTTTCTGCCCTGATGTGGTAAATTCTGTACAGAAAAATGTCACCCCCCACCTGGTATTGGAAGAAGTTTAAGAAACCTTACAGAGGAGAGGCATATCTGCTTCCCAGGAAATAAGCCCACCATGATTAATTCTGCTTGGATATAGGGGACGGAAAAGAGACAGCAACTTGGCAAGAAAGGTCTATGCCAACCTCAAACGTCAGCAGCCTGCTGTGCATGCAAAGTAAGTCAACTGTTTCCACGTTGATGGCCTGATCCACAATCTGTCAGAACCAGACCGGCCCTCTGAGGGCTGCTCAGCCAGAAAACCACTTGGAGACTCCACCTTAGCTCACAGGAGAGGTATGGGAGGGAAGGGAACTCACTCCAACACTTGGGAGGCAAGGACGGGAAAGGTTTGTAGACAGGGTTCCTCCAACATGCAACTTGCCTTTTCAGCTCAGAGATCGCTGCTTAGTCCTAGAATGCCTTTCCCTCCAGTTCAAGCAAGCCAAACACCATCCCAGACACACATGCTTCGATACTACAAAATACTCTTTTCTCTAAGGACCATCTAATACCACTACAGTTTGTGCAATCACTGCATTTATTATTCATTTTTAAACTCTCTCTCGCTCTCTCCCTGTAGAAATTTTTTTTAAAACTTTTCTTTTTTTATGCAAAACTAATCATTTCACTTTTTCCACTCCATCATAAAATCTCCTCTAAAAACACGACAACGAGAACAAACATGGCACAGACACAGAGAATATTTCCCTGTTTTTGTTGATTTTTTTTCCTAAGGGTTACGGGGAAAGGAAGGGGATACTTTCAAATAAACTCCTCCCTCAATTCCATGCACATTTTAAAAGGCATGGATGAATCTTCTTTCCTATCTCCATTAAGGAGCAAGGGCAAAAATTCAGAAGGAGGAGCACAGCCCACGTGAATACGAAGGTAGGTTAGTCAGCCTCAAGTGTCTTGTCCACCTGAGGGAACTTGAGGCTACTGCTGTATTCAAGTTAGCAAACCTCTAACTCAAACCAGCACGGGATCCTCATTTCGGATCCAGAGGTTCAGGGTTTGGTTCCCACCTGGTGACCCTCCCAGGGAGGGATTTGTCACACAAGCAGGTGAGCTGTGTCTGCAAGCCGGATCATACTCCTTTCTTCCTCCACAAAGAGGATCTACCACACGAGTTTCTCTGCTGCAACAAGTGCCCTCATCTCCTCACCGCAGGAAGAAGGTCCTTGCGGAGCATCCCTACAATGACCCACTGTTTTACTCTTCACAGACAGTTCCCTTGCTTGCCACTCTGGAGAAAGGCAAAACCCCTTCAATTAAACAATTCCTGCCCCTTGCCCCCAAAGAACACCATACAAGAGACACTGGGGAAAAGAATTCTGCCAAGCAACACATCTTGGCCAAAACACATCAAGAGTTTCCTATTAAAGTTCCCTTTTATCTCCCACTTAAACGCTTCAACACTTTTTTCAGAATCTTGATACCACAAAACAAAACACATCACCACATACACACCAAAGAGTAACTTAACAACCTAAAGTGACTGGCCGGTTTGCATCCACCCCATAAAGCAGCTCCTCTTATCTCACAGCCACAGATTAGTTCTTATTCAGAAGGGGAAGGAAAGAGAGAAGAATCTCCTCGCTATTTTCCTAAGAAAGAGCTTTTCCCTATGCCTACAAACTGCTCATCTTTGAAGCTGCAGTCAAATGGATAGGCTATGCTAACATAAGGGATTCCTGGGTGTGCCAGGCACAGGAAAGATGCGCAAAAGAAAACCCAAACAAACAAACAAAAAAAAAAAAACAACACCCACAAAATACAAGCAGGTATTAACACAGACACGCACACAAGTCCAACAAGTTATAGAAAGCCTTAGCTTGGTAAATGGATCAGGGAAGTCTCCTTCTCCCTGCCCCTAGCTTCAGCTGTGAATGAAAGCACATCCCCGAAGAGTCCACTAAGCTCTTTAACCGAGGAAAGAAAAATAAAGAGGTGTACCAAGGGTGGTGCTAACAGCACCTGGAATCCCCCTCAGACTGTCTGCACAGACACCCAACCACAACTAGTTCACACAACTGGTGTGAATTCACTGTTTCCCACAGCTTGGAATGCCACCCACTGCAAGGCAAGGTTTGTGGGGAAGGCAGCAAATATTTTATTACACCGACCCAGGCGCTGGAGGCAGGGAATAGACACGCTCTGGGCACAAAAGCCCTAATTAAGGTCAGAAGCCGGTCTATCCCTCTACCACCCTGACAATGTCCCTTGGGCAGACAAATATTACTTCCTTCCCACAAATTGCCTCCCTTCTATCCTCAGATCACTACAACCACAAAATCACTGCTGCAGGAGAGCACTCCTCAGAGTCAGCAGCTCCTGAACATCCTTGTGTGAAAGCACCAGAGGGGCCAATTCCACTTGTGTTCACCAGCCCAGGGCAGGCTTATAAGTAAATGAGCCCTGGCATGAGGAATTTTTTCCACCCTTTCCACCTCCGCAGCATGTTATGTAGAAGTGACACCCCTCTGCCCCATCCAGGGACAGGGCTGAGAGGGTGAGGCTCTCCCAGCAGCTCATCAGCACCTCTTTTCCTTGCCTCAGTCCTGTGCAAGCAGAGGAAGAAAGGAGAGCAAAGGAATGGCTTCTCACCGTGAAGCTTAGGACCCACACAGAAACAGAGCAAGCCAGAAATGGCAGGCAAAAAATAGAGCTTATTTTGGATGTGAACAAAGCTGGTCAGGGAAAGAGGGAGCTGTGGAATAAACAGCAAGCTGTGGTCTTGCTCCCTCCTACTTGCTAGGAGTGAAGAGAAGGAATTTCTAGATCAGCTCACAGGAGCTTTAGGGGAAGAGATCCAGCGCACATGCACGTGATGTGAGAGAGACAGGTATTTCTTATGAGCACCTTTGGTTGACAGTTGTAAGGGCTGTTTCAGATGCTGAAAAGACAGAGGGGAAATCTCTTCCAGGCCACCCACCAGAGGGAGGGGAGAGCAGGAGGGGCAAAAGTGAGCAGGAGGGGCAAAAACAAGCAGGAAGAACAAACAACCTGCCTTAGCATCCACACCTCCTTCCTTCGGAAGGAGCAAGAGGAAGCAAGGAGGGCCGGGGGAAGCTTACGCACACGGTGGGAGAGCAGCCATGTGGCTGGGGCAGCATCACGCTGCTGGCATTATCCTCCCACAGACTGAAGGATGGATGCACAGCCCACTCCTGCTTCTGCCACGGAAAGACCAGAGAAAGGCATTTCATGTTCTCTCTCCCAAACAAGTGCAAGTGATGAACATCAGGAGGAAGATATGGGCTGGAAGCAGACTCCTCTTTTCTTCCCTTTCTCCTGAGGAGCTGAACAGGTTGGAAGATGCAGGAGAAGAGGAGGGACCAGGGCACCTGAAAGCACCCATACAACTGCCAAGGTAGCACCAATAGTCAAAGGAAAGGGGAAGCCAATATGAGGCATAGGCTGCATGGGGCACCCCCCACCACCCCAGCTTTGTCTCAAGCACCTTCCAGGCACGACATTTAACCTGTCCTTCTCCCCCTCACTGAGGGCATCTGGATCAGCAACTGCCACAAGGACAGTAGAGGAGAGGGCAGATCCAGGCCACAGGCCAAGAGGGGAAGGATGGCAGGATGGTAGTCATGGCAAGGGGGAAACAAGAATGGAAGAGTCTGCATGCACATTGTGGGAGAAGGTCTGGAGGACATGGACAAGGGCTCCAATCCTCTTATGTCCTCCCCTCACGGGTTTGGAGCTCCTCTTCAGTTTTTGTCAAAGACAGAAGGGGAATGAGGAAGAGCAGCACCATCCTCACCACCTGCACAGGCACACAGACACATGCTCACTCATCCCTCAGCCCCAAAGGCTCCACCGCCCGTTGGACAACATCACATTCAAGGACAAACAACCACTCCCCAGCCCCACCACAACCCTCCCTGCCTCCTCCTAGCAGTACCAACACCCAGGAACAGTGGGTGCTCCCACACCCCCACTGACACACTCCAGCCTCCAGGCAAGAGGAATTGGGCAGGAGGAAAGGAGGAGGAAGGGTGGCAGTGAGGGTAGAGGGACAGCCAAGGGGAGAAGGAGAGAACTAAGGACAGCCATTCGCACCACGACTTCTCTCAGGTAGAGCTCCCCCCACGCCCCTGGAGTGGAGGGACCTGGTTGCTCACTTGCTGCCTCCTCCACCACTGCCCGCCGCCACCTTCTCAAAATCCTCTGCATTGCAGAACTCCTTGATGGTTACAGTGAGGAGGTTGCTGGTGACATCTGTGACCACCACATTAGAGCAAGGGGACATCTCAGGACGCCAGTCGCCAGCCTCCTGCTCCGGGTCAGAAGAGGAAAGGGACAAGGAGGGAGTCTGCCCCCCACTGCACCCTCCCGAAGGAGAACGCTTGCTGGTGGCAGCCGACTCAGGTGGGATTGAGAGGTCGAGGACCTCTGACTCACGCCAGTCGGGGATGGCTGGGCTGAGGGTCTCAGGGAGCAGCTTTGGAGGGGAATCATCTGGGTCAGAGGAGGAGTGGGGAGCAGGTGATGGGCACCCAGAGGAGCTGGAGCTGGGGGCATCATAGGGGGTGGAGCCCATAATAAGCCCACAGGAGGTTGCCTGGGAGCCTTCGGCCTCCCCCTTGCCCTCCAGAGACGGGGTAGGTGCAGCAGACGGCTTATTGTAGAGCGAAAAGGTGCCAAACTTCATGTGGCGGATCTGAGTGCGCAGGACGCTCTCGCTGAACTTTTTGCTCTTGCCAATGACACGGTTTCGGGAAGGGATCTTGGGCCGAGCCAGGCCCCCGGCCCCATTGGCTGGCTTCCCACCTTTGTCAATGACTTTGAGGTTGAGGATGATGCGGCTGCGTTTGGGCTCGCGGGGTTTCACCTTACGGTTGATGATGCGCACGGTCTCCGAGAAGGGCGAGACGGGAGGACGAATGCCAGCCCCGCCACCCACGCTCCCGCCATTCTGGGGATCTGGACGGGGCAGGGGGCGCCGGGACATGCGGTGGCATCGCCGGATGTCTTTCTTGAGCCGGTGCACCGCGGCGCTGGAGTGGAGTTTGGGAGAGGAGGTACTGGAACCAGGCTTGACAGAAAAGTGTACATCCCCAATGTGGAGGGCCTCCGCTTGGGCCCGAGCCTGCGGTGGTGGGGAGAAAGAAAACAAACAGGGTCAGAGAGGCAGCCTAGGCGCAGCCAGATCTCAAATGAGGCACTGCTCACTTGAGGCCAAGCACCATGACACATTTATACACAACATCAATGACAAGCACAGGTACACACCTACAAACTATGGATAGCTCTAGCACAGCCCCCAGACAGGCATAGGACACTGTCTTATATAATTTTTGGGCAGCTGATGTCTCCCTAGGCTGTACCACTGTTGACACATGCTTTCCCCAGGGAGAAACTGTGACTTCCCAGGCATGTCTCAGGGTTAGAGTTAATGGTCTCCAAAGTCCCCCTTGGTCATCATCAGTCAAAGTGCACAACCCTCCACTGTCAGCCAAAGAAGCCAGCATCATCCCAGGCACTTGGGGCTGTCAGTGCTGAGACAGCACCCAAACGTACAAAGGGATTGTGCCAGGTTCTCTACAAATTGAACACAAGATAAGAGGGAAGAGGCAGAGTAACACCTAATGAGAATTACCTCTGAAAAGCGTGGTAGAAGGGGGTCTTGAGGAACAAAGACGGAGGCTGGTGAGAATGGCCTGATGGAGCTATCTTCGTTAAACACAAGAAATTTAGAGATCTGATTTTTAACTAGGGTCACATGCAAGTCATTCATTCTTACTGTGCTGTGGGAGCAAGGTCCAGTGTTTAAAGCCAGAGATGAGGCCAGTTGGAATTCAAGTAAAATTTAACTGCACCTCCAAAGAAGAGGTTGACTTGTCCGTTTGAGCACCACACTTGTTTGAAACCTAGAACTGGACCAGCACCTGTTCAACTGTTCTGTGCCAGCCCTTCTCAAGACCCAGCCCAGAGGAACAATATTTTTAAGCTCTTCTGGTGCCAAAAACTGCCCTGGTTCATGCACCAGATACATTTTCTGTCGGCAGGAACAACAGTTTCATTGGTAAGCTGGTGCTGTATGACCTGTGGGCATGGAAACCCAGAGTCTATTCTTACATCACATCTCATCAGAGCGCTGTTACTTGTATGGCTCATCCTTCCACCTGCACCCCAGTACTTGCCCAAGCCAACCCCCTTCCATATTCCCTCTCAGCAGTGGTGACAGGTAGAAGTCACGCAGGCCTGGAGGGGACAGGCGAGCCCCCACGCTGTGACTGCCCATCCCGCGAGCAGCTTCCCCCACCTCGTGGGCACAGAAAGAACTGCAGAGCTAGAAGACGACAGCTGCTTTTCCTCCCCAACTTTTCCATCCCGTTGCCCCTTGCACACGCCAAGATCGGGATGGCTTCTTGCCAGCTAAGAGCTTAGCACTCAACTCCATCTCCTTTGTCACCCTGCAGGCTGTGCCTCCTACCAGAGAAATGCCTGGGGAAAAAAATGTGCGTGTAAAGGCAGGGATCTAACAGATCTAAGCGAGGGGCCCAGCCAGCCCCTGCACAAAAAGCTCAAAGTCCTGGCCCTACAGCTCCAGAGCTTTGCTGTTAGCCAGAGCCCCTCTTCTCCCACAGAGATACCCATGGGAACCACAGAAGATCTTCAATGAGCAAAGAACGGAGACGTGAAGACATTTTGTTCCTCTTTCGACTAACACTGGATGATCACAGCCTTCAGTACTACTTGTATTCTGGCTTTAAAAGGACTGCAAAAATGAGCCTCCTTCTCTGACTGCACAAGAAAACACAAAAAAGGCTCATCCTGACTGGGGACCTGGACTCTGTGTTAGCTGACTGACAAAGAAATAGACAAGTTAGCACAACCCCAAGGCAGGCACAGACACTCTGCACATTAACAGGGCTGTTTCCATCTAGCTAAAGGGAAGTGTGTCCAGCACACACAAACCCCAACACTTTTTCTGCTGTAGCAGAAAGCTTCCCAACGTCCATCTAGTTACTCTTTGCTCAGCCTCGTGTTACTCCATGCCCCAAACTGTTGAGAAAATAAGACACAGTTTCTGTCACAGGCATAGTACAGGCCTGAGCACAGCAACAGCACCAGATGAACTCCCTGCACCACACATCAAGTCTCCTCCTCCCATCTCATCAATACACAACTTGGAGACACTGCAGATCCGGTCAGGGGGTCAGGCACAGGAAAACGCACATTTGGGCTGTGCTTACTCCATCTCTTCACAGGTCCCTCTGAAGCAGATGGCAGACACAAGGACAAGCTAAAGTTTGCTTTCTGACATTACATACCAGCACAGCCTGAATTAACAAATTTGTTCCTTTTCCACCTGCTCCACACCACAGCCAGCCCTTTCAGCACTGCTGCCCTTGTGCTTTGGGTTTCTTACCAGTTTACCACTGCTGAGCCAAGAGCAAAATGCAACACAACATCCCATTCCAAAATACAGGACAGGGAAGCCAGGAAGACAGATGCATCACTAAAAATCCTTCTACAGCTTCAGTGGATGGACACAGGTATCCTTCAGTGCCTCTCCCACTGCCAACACTGCACATCTTTCAGATTAATTGCCTAGCCCACAATCATGCCTTCGAGTGAGGAGTTCTGCCCCCTCTGTGCCATTCTGCTCCAAGTGAAATCTAATTGCCACCTTCCACCAGCACCGCCTCCATCACTCAGGAGAGAAAGAAGGCAGCTTCCCAGAAGTGTGGGGGAAGCAATCACAAACACCCTCAGTTTCCTTATACACCCCAAAAATTCCTGAGCAAAGTTTTCTATCAGCCACATTAAACAAAGTGATAATGCTGGGATGGTTACTACCTGGCCACTTCCACAGCCCTGCTGCTTTTACCTTCTCTTCCTGTAAACATTAATCAGCTTCTCTCTGTTTTCACAGAGACCTGTCTTGGTTTTGTGCTTGCCCAGCAGCTACTGTAGAGCCCTGGTACATGGCTTGGACTTTTCCAGTGTGCCAGAAGCAGTAGGTCTCATTTACATGCTATGTGTCTGTGTTTCCAGTTACTTCTGGGACACTTTCTCAAGGCTGAAGCTGTTTCTAACTCATGTTTCAGCTATCTGCCTTTATTAAATTCCAGCTTCAGTAGTGTCCAGGTGGTCTACAGACAGCATTGATACTTTGGTCAGATTACCAAGAGAGGCTAAATTAGGGCCCAACAGTCCTCCCCTGCTGCTACACTGCTATCCCCAGTGACCAGCTTCAATGCAAGTTCCAAAGAGCATTATGCAAATATTCAGCTTACCTTGAGATTGTTTTTCCAGGTAAGGTTTCAAGAAAAATCGTATCAGATGCTTTATCTAAGACCAACCCCCACAGCTTTCTCACTTGGGAAGCTCAGTATTCCTACCACAGGATCAGGTTTATTCAGGCATCACCTACATGAACTTGTCCCTTCACTGCAGGGGACAGTACAGAGGCTCTCCTTCCCTTGCTTCCAACTTTAGATTAAGTAACTTGCTACCTTCGGTTTGGAGAAGACTCAACATTCAGTTTCATCTGTTGGAAAGGCACTTCTCCCTGCTCTGGATCCATTCCTCGATCACACTCACAAGCCATATGAGGATAAGGTCTTTGAAAAACAAACCCACTGAATCCTTTCAGCTGTGTCACCACAGTTTGCTCCTCAGCTCACAAGTTTTCCACACAGAAACTACCTCTCTAGGTTTTGCTGCTTTCACCAGCAGGATGTGCTCACTGCTGAAGAGGTACTCAGCATGTATATGAAGTAATTCACTCTCTGCTTACAGCTCAGCCTACATCAGGATGCAGTTGCTGGAAGCTTGCTGCAGTGCTCTGTCATGAGAGCAAGCCAATTGCTGGGATTGCTTCCCTTCCCCCTCTTCCCGTCTGGGATATGTATCACCTTTATTTATCTTGTACAGCTCTCCCTCACTGTCCCTGGGAACCAGTGTATCTCCCCCATTCCCTACTATTTCTGAATAAGTGTCCCTCGAGGCCCAGCAAGCATATTTGTTCATTCATTCCCTTAACGCACTGAGGCACACAAGCACGTACACAGACACGTGCTTAGAAAGGCCTCTCTTACCTGACTTGTATCAAAATCTCTATGATTTGGAAGAAAAAAACAAACCAAAGACCTTGTAAGGCAATGGATTTCTACAGAATTATTTAAAAATCTTGCCAATTCCAGTAGTGCTGCTGCACCATAGTAGCGCTACTCTCTCATAAATTACTGGCTCTGCTTTGTCTTTTATTCTCCACCTGCATTCCCACAGTCTTTGCTCCCAACAGCATTTGCAAGAGCTCTTCTTTCCCCTTTTTGGCTGCCATTCTGCCTTTTTATCACCCTCTTTCTTCTGCAGTCTTCTAAGTGACAAGGCAAAAGCAAGACATTTCATAGCACAGTTCTCCCAAGCAACACTGCCATAAACTAAAGTTTCCCTCTGGATTGGGAACAAAATGCTACAAAAGGAGAATGGTCTGTTTTCAAATTACTCAGGATAATTTACGAACAGGGAGGAGATCAAAAGAAACCCAATTCCAGCCCTGGAGTTCAAGAGAGGGCGAAAGGACAGAGCACCATGCTGCTCAACCCCTTCTTCCCCCACTCTCCTACTAAGAATCCCTTTACCCTTGTTCTCCCTTACTTCTTCCTTCCCATTAACCTTCTTCACTCCTGTCACCTTAGTATTTATGGCCACCCCAACTAGGAGTCTTTGCCAGCCACCCACTGAGCTTGCAGATTGCACTCTGTCTCTGAATAGCACTTGCTAGACTTTATTAGATGAGTTGGTGAGGTTTGCATTCCACACAGAGGAGTGCCTAGAGAAAAAAGTGAAATAAAAAGAGCAAATCAAGCAGGAGAAAAAGAGGAAGACCACTACAGCACGTGCTATGTCTCTTTCTAACCTCACACCAGCATCCATGCTGAAGGGCCTGTCCTCAGGGATGACTTCTGCCAGACATCTGAAGAGTCTTACATCCAGTGCTGCCCGTTTCAGATGAAGAACTTTGTTTCCTATCTGCTCAGCACAGGGCTGCAGCACACCAGCAGCCTCCCAAGAATCACAGCCTCCTGCCAAGCCTGAGCTCAGCTGTGGGAAAGCTTGCCCCTAGCATGCAAAGGATAAAGACCCATTTCCTGCCCAAAACTTTGCAGTTGAACTTTGCAGGGGTCGCTTTCAACACCGGCCATCTTGATAGTATTATTACAAAGCCTGGACTGTGATGTGCCTCTGCAGTCTGATCGAAAGGGCAAGTGTTAGACAGCTCTCAGAAACAGGAGCCTGGCTTACAAAGGCAGCAGGTGGTCAAAGATGCAGCTTTTCAAAGCTTTTCCAAAGGCGTGGGCCACTAACCTGCTGGAATGCTTTCTGCAAATCCCCCTGGGTGCCTATCTGCAACTTTTGAGAACTAATCCCTGGATAAACCTAGTCCCAGCTGCAAGCCAAAACACCCACACAAGCCAAGGGACTGAGTGGCATATCAGGGCACTTATTTTGATGCCATTCTGGAGACTCAGAAGCCTAGGTTTAAGCACTGATACACATGAAAAATCCTAGCAAGCCATGAAGTCAAGGGCAGACTACTCTATCAAAGCAGTCCTAGGCCAGATTTCTGCTTAAACATCATTGCATCCAGGCCTAATCTGTTCAGTTAACAGATCAAAAAGAATATTGTTCTAACTGCCAACTCCAAATACTCCCTCTGGGATACAAGAATCAAATTTCTTCCCCTGCTTCCGAAATTCTCACTGGCAAGAGATTCTGCAGCTGAAAGAACTGAAAATACTGTTAGTAATGTGCGAGGCAGAACCCAATCCCACTCCTCCGACAGTGGAACTGGCGCTGCGGGGCTGGAAGAGGTCAAATGTGCATCTTCAGGGGTCAGAAAAGCTGAATTACAAACCGTCTCGCTGTCTCTGTCGTAACTCTAGCCACAGTTGTGTCGATTGTGGTTTGCCTGAACAGAGCTCAAACAAGTTCAGATGGGTCTGGCTCAGACAGAGTTACTTCTCGCTGCCTGGTCTGGGGTGTTATTTTTAGGGTAGGATCCCAAGTCACAGAGGAACAGCAAGTCGGAGCGCTAACAGTTCCACCGGCTCTGTTTCCCAGAGGTGCAAACCAAGCGGCAGTGGTAGCGCTCTGCCCTGCCAGCCTCTCCCACGTGGAACCAGCCCTCAGGAGAGATGATCTTGCTCCCCATCACGAGTCAGCTTCTACAAAGTACCAAGCCAGCTCTGCAAACCTACAGGTTTCCATTACCATTTGAGGAGCTGGCAGAAGGAAGATGTGCCACAGAAACGTGTCACGGATGTGATTCAAAGGATGCTGCTGAATAATTCACGTTAAGTTTAGGGGAGTTTTAAAGGGTAAGGGGAAAAGTGAAGCAATGAGTGGGTTTTGAGTTCGGGGGTTGGTTTTGGTTTTTTAAATGAGTGAGAATGAGTAATTTTTTTTTTAAAAAAGTGATATGGCAATAGATATGGCCGTATCACATTCAGAATCAAAAAATAAAAGAAAGTGATTACACATATCACAGTCACCGCTCTACAGCTCTGAACAGTGTCAGGTGTTACAAATACCAGTATTTTTTAATGCAGGCAGAGGACTATTTCAAGCTGGTGATTTTCCCTTCAAGTGTTCCTTTGCATTGCTGGAAATTTAAACACAGAGTTACATTTAATGCATGACTGCCAGAAAGAGGAAAGCCAACTAGACTGTGTTCCCTCAATACAGCATAAGGAATATATATCAGATTTGTTTGTAATTTTCAGGATACACATACAGAACACTGTTAGCAAAAAAACAGGCGACTGGGGAGGACAGTTCCATCAGCAGGACTTCCCAAGGATTACCACGGTCCCCTGGGTTTCACACAGAGCATCAGAATACGCCTGCCCCTGCATTTCTTCTGTGTGCTTCATTAAGCCCTCCCAAAGCAGAGAAGAGGTGACACCCTACCCCTCACTGTGCTTTCCAGTGCTCGTGCAGTTAAAAGTGCTGTGCTGACTTGAGTAAAGCTCCTACTGCTGCCAGGCAAACGGAAGTATTAACCTGTTTCACAGATGGGGAAACACGCACAAAGCCTAAGTGACTTGCCCAAAGCCACAGGATGACTTGGTGATAGTGATGCCTTACTACAGGGTCCACACAGGCTGTTCCAGGGCTTCCTATCAGAATAAAACTAGGGGAACTCCAGATTTGCTCATCCCTCTAAACTGTACAAAGGTGTGTTCTTTCTATGCTCACTTGAAGCCTGAGATTGTGACAGGAGATTGGAGAGGAAGGGGAGGGAAGAGGGGAGTAGAGCAAGGCATTTAATCTGTAAACTAATAAATTCACAGAGCTCACGTAACAGTCACACAGCTACCAGAGTTCTTAATTAAAAAGAAAGAAGGTAAAAAGACAGGGCAAGTAGGCCTGCACTAGGGACTACCTTCCTTGCTCTTCTCTGCAAGCAAACAGAGAGATGCTACGACATCTTGCAGAGATGCTGAGTTTATCAGAAAGAAATTGGAAACTTCAGCTGCCTTCCTATGCAGAGGTGAAACACTCCTCCTCTTCCCAGCCACCCCCCACCCTCTGCAAAAGCAAAACAAGCCTGCAGTTTACAGATCAAAGCATGAACCCTTCATGAAACTCCCGTGGAGCACCTACATCCTTAAATGCAATCAGAGGAGCACAAGTGGCAGTGGGATTCCCGCCTCTGCTGCCTGACCGCTCAGCACGCCGCTGAGTTGCAGGGCATTGATGGAACGGCCTGCTGAAGGAAGAGGGAACAAGACTGGCTAGCTCTCCACTGCGGCAACAGAAGGCCAGGAGAAGGAGAGGATATTGGAAAAAGAGACTGCAGGCTCACCACGCACATCTGCGTGTGCTGACCGTCCTGCTGAGGCACCCGTCGCACGCACACGCGCCCTCCCCTCACACGCTTCTGCGCCTCTGCCCACCCCCCTTTCCTGTCGGGTTTTCCCCGCGCTCCCAGAGCCAGGCATCAGGCACAAGTCACTTGAAAGTCCAGTCCTTCCAAGGGCACGCACCAGCAAGGTTTGAGAGGATTTTTTTTTTTTTTTTTGCTAGGCCTAAGTTATTTAAATAAGAGTTACCTTCAGCAGAAAAGTTTTAGGTTTAGGTCCTCTCTTCTTGGGCCCGTACAGCTCACGTTCTCGTTCCCTTTAGGGAATCAAATTTTTCAAGAAGTTAAAACTTTTCCCAAAGGGAAAAACAGAAGCATACAAGTTAAAGGGAAAAAAAAAAAAAAAAAAAAAAAAAGGGAAAAAAAGAAAAGAAAAGGAACGTCTGGACGCTGTTTCCCGCTCGCCCACCCAAAGTCAAACCTGCGGCTGCAGCCCCCCCAGCCCAGGGTGGGGGATGAACACTCACTTCTGCTCGAAGGCGGCGATGAGGCGGGAGTCCAGGATGTTCTCCTCGGGTTCCCAGGTGCTGTACCTGCCGGGGCGGGAGCAGCGGAGGGGACAAGCGAAGCGATTAGCGCCCAAATCCCCCCGCAGCCGCACACATAGATACCTCCCCCTCCATCCCACTCCACCCCATCCCAAGCCCCCCATCCCCGCAGCCCGGGCGGGATACACTCACTTGATGGCCCAGCCTTTCCATTTCACCAGGTACTCGATGCGCCCCTGCAACACACGGGGGAGAAGGGGGGGGGGAGGGGG